ATTAAAATAGGGATTTAGAATAATAAAATATATTTACGAATATTTTGGAGTATTTATATTAGCATTTAGGAATATTTTGGAGTATTTATGTTGACATTTTTGAATATTTTGGAGTATTTATATTAGCATTTAGGAATATTTTGGAGTGTTTATGTTGACATTTAGGAATATTTTGGAGTATTTATATAAGCATTTAGGAATATTTTGGAGTATTTGTATTAGCATTTAGGAATATTTTGGAGTATTTATATAAGCATTTAGGAATATTTTGGGGTATTTATATTAGCATTTAGGAATATTTTGGATAGGAATATTTTGGAGTATTTATATAAGCATTTAGGAATATTTTAAAGTTTTTATATTAGCATTTAGGAATATTTTGGAGTATTTTTGACCTAGAATATTCTTGGTTTTCCAGGAAAAATGCGACGTCATGCTCGTTTAGTTCACACTGTACTCTAGCGTACACTTCAGGTTTCAACTTTTTACACAAAATTTATGAGATATACGCACTGACTTTTCTGTCCTCGATGATCAATCGTCAAAAGTTTCGAGGGTATCGTTGTGAATCAGGGACGACCCACTTTAAAAGGTAAATCAGTTTAAATTAAGTTTCTTTTATAATTTGAAATCAGTTAGAAATATTGGGAATATTTTCAAGTTATAAGAAGTGATTAGGACCACTTAACAAAGAATTTGAAGTATTTGGGAGTATGTAACAAACACTTAATAGTGATCAGAAGCACATGTAAGGTAAAGAATAAACTGTTGAAGAATTTACATCTATTCACCCTGCAGTCAAATTCGAACTAATACATTGTAAAACATAAAATAAAACAATTTAGAATGAAAGTTTGGATTTTAGGTGGGCCTCCAGAGTTGGTTTGGAAACTTTAGTCTGAGTTGAAGTGGGAAATATATTTATAAAAAATATTAAGAAGTTTCTCGATTGTAGACAAGTTAGAGAAGAGGGGGGGGGGGGAGTGGAACCCAACTGCCAATACCACATATCTCTCTCAACATAAAATATGCTCATTCTAGTGAGAAAAAACGTAACGGAACAAATGCTAAAAACCAAAGAAATTGGAGTTCCGATTTTATTCCTTAGCTGCGATATGTTTACAATAAAGTTATTTTGAATATTTGGGCTCAAAATATAAGATACATCATTATTTAAACTGCATAAATGTATTAAATTTAAGTGTAGAAGCTTGCTGCAGATACAGAAATTAGGAGAAGAGTGTTGTATATTAGGAGAAGAGTGTTGTATATTAGAAGTGTTTTATATTAAATATTGGATGTGGGGGGGCCTGAATAATAGGTGTTGAGTCTTTGTTATTAGCTTCTGAGAGTTGGATATTAAGTTTTGTTTATTGGATATCATTAATCATCATATAAGGTGTTTGAGTACTAATTACTAAATGAGTTTAACCTAAGGTTGAGTGTCGCATTGAAAAAACTCTAACCTGAGAACATAAGCATATTCTGCCAGTAGAGTTTCATTAATAATTCTCCACTTGTGTTTCGCCTTCTTGAAGTGAGGATCGGGGAACAGGAAAAACATTTTCGTGAGTTGACCCTTGCGGAAAAAGTTTGGAAGATATTTCATCGCGTTACTCCGGATACAGGCAACATTAGTAAACTCTCCAGGTTTCTGTAATCTCAGAGCTGATATCCTGTCCCGTACATAATCTGATACCTAGAGAACATTTTTATATCAATATCAAACTAGAAAGAAATTGATTAAATATGTTTTTGTTTTTTTTCGTTAAAAATGTATTCAAAAATTCACATTTGATATTTATGTAGAAACAATTCAACATCAACTGGAAAAATATTTTATATATTTAGAAAAGTAAATATCTATATGTTTAGCTGAGGAATACCAAGGTTAAATTATAATATTAAACAGTTCCTTTGTAACATCAAGATCTGACAATCATTCTTGCAAAGTTAAAAAAATTTTGGGGGTAAAAACCTGAAATTTGTATCTGATAAATAAACTTCTGATTGAATTTACTTCCCTTTGAACTGTTGCTTAATCTTTAAGCATTTTCTCTGCGATAAAACAATATTAAACAATTTGTGGAATAATTTTTTTTACGTGATTTTTTCAAATTTTACGAAAATCAAAAATTGTTGTAGACATTTTTTTGCAATTCTGAGCATCCATAAACCTTCCCCAGGGTCCGATGTCAGACCTAGAGATTGAGAACATTTTCAGGTATAAAACAGGGGTTAATAGTGAGTAATCTAGTTTTACAATCGACATTTCTTTTGAAAAACTCCCTCCCTCGCCCCTTTTACAAAATTATATAGAAAATGCTATTTTTACGCAATATATATATATTTTTATATTTAGTTAATGAATAACAGAGCAGGGAAGATAACACTAAGCTTTCTACCAGTTGAGAAAACTATACGGGTAGAAACAAGCCTTTACAGCATTGTAGGATGTAGGATAATATATCAGGACTGTTATTGTTTAGGTTGTCATCAAAATATGAATTAAGGAACATAAAAACATGAATTAATGGATTATTGGACATCAAAATATGAATTAATGGATTATTGGACATCAAAACATGAATTAATGGATTATTGGATATCAAAACATGAATTAATGGATTATTGGACATCAAAACATGAATTAAGGAACATAAAAACATGAATTAATGGATTATTGGACATCAAAATATGAATTAATGGACTATTGGACATCAAAACATGAATTAATGGATTATTGGATATCAAAACATGAATTAATGAATTATTGGACATCAAAACATGAATTAATGGATTATTGGACATCAAAATATGAATTAAGGAACATAAAAACATGAATTAATGGATTAATGGACATTAAAATATGAATTAATGGATTAATGGACATCAAAACATGAATCAATGGATTATTGGACATCAAAACATGAATTAATGGATTATTGGACATCAAAATATGAATTAAGGAACATCAAAACATGAATTAATGGATTATTGGACATCAAAATATGCATTAAGGAACATCAAAACATGAATTAATGGATTATTGGACATCAAAATATGAATTAATGAATTAATAGACATCAACATTGTTTTTATCTTCGATATTCAAATCTTTTTCTAGGAGAAAATATGATGAGCTGTTTAAATTATGCAGGTCGATTGCTATGAGGGAGTCAACTAGAAATTTAATCAGTTTCGGTCATATTTGATAAATTAAAACCAGAGCATTTTTATATCTATAAAGTTTTAAATTACATCTTCGGAAAGGATCTAATGGCTTGCTTCAAACTGTAATTTACAAATCTTTTTTCTTTACAGCCTGATTTCAAAGACCTTTAATATTTCAATCTATAATTTTTCCATATGATGTATAGTCAAATTATGATCAAAGGCCACACTATCAGGTTTAAAAGATATAGAAATTAGAAAATTAATATTTATATTTTTCATTTTTTGGTAAATTGTGAAAATCTTATTTTATTTGGTGTTTATTTATGCTTTGATATTGTTTAATACTAAAATGTTTATTATATGTATTTACATTTTATATTGTAAATGGAGAACGCTTATTTTGATTTCTCGTAAAATTGATTTAATGATCTCTTTTCACGGGAGGAAAAAGGCGAACACCTTTTTAAAAATATTTTTCTTTTTGGACATTATTTTCAAACTTTATCTTTTGTTAGTAATGATTCATAATATTATTTTCAGTATTTTGATTAAATAAGTAGAAAAATCAAATACTTCAAAGTTTTTAATTAATTTTGAAAAAAACGGCGGCCGCAGAATGTGAACCGGAAGTGAGTTAAAAGTTCCGCCCTGTCGATTCAATTTCCGGAAATAGTAGATGATAGGATACCTCATCTAACAAGTAACCACCCACTTATACAGTTAAATATACACAATTTGTTAAAAGTCCAAAAAAAATCTAAAAAAAGCTTCCTGAAACTAAAGTTCTGCTATTGTCAAGTGATTTAAATCAAAATGTCTTTTTCAAAAAAAAAGATGATAATTTGAAGTGATAAATAAAGATATTAGTAGACTTTTACTTATCACATAAAGACTTTATCCTATAAAAAGTGATTTTCTAAAAAAGAATATTTGGGACTTCAGTAACTTCTTAGATTCTAAAATGAAATGGTTGCAATGGGGTGAAATCGTGCACTCGTCACGTGCTTAAAGCAACTACGTGAAATAAAATAATGAACTTAATTTAATTGAAAGAATTAATTTCAGATCCATCAATTCAAAAGTTATACCAGAGTCCGAATTTAATGAATATGAGCCGAAATCTCGGTTCCAATTGACCGCCGGCTTAAATCTTGAAACATCCAACACAATTCTAAGTGGAACCAACATATTTGAGCCACGTCTCAACTTTAAACCGCGGCTCAAATTCTTTAAATTCAACCTCAGTTCTGGTTCATAAAGGATATAAAGGATAAAAGTTGTCTATACGTAACCAACCTCTTTTGTCAAAATGAGAAAAATTAAAATTGTTACTTTTCATCAAAAAAAGATTCTATGAAAACATTGAAATTGAACATCAAAATACAAAGGAATTGAGTCTTTTTCACATACTCTGATTTTCTAATCACTATATCTTTGAAACCAAATGTTGCAGGCCTTAGATATTTCAAACTATGAATTATGTTAGATCATATAATCTGAGCTTGAAATATCAAAGGTTTACAACATCGGGTTCTAAAGATATTGAGGTTTAAATATTTGATTTTGTTCCAAAGACTCAATTCCTTTTACAATAACACTTAATTGTATAATTAATACAAACCTTTAAAAATATTATCACAATATATATAAAGTTGTAATCTCTGTTTGTCTGTTTGCTTGTCCAATCATAAACTCATGAACCCGTGACTAATTGGCCTCAAATTTAAATATGATGAGAAAATTTTAATTTCATTTTTTTTTACTTTTTTAGATGGGTTTAAAGGTGTAAGTTGAGCTGGTAGATATTTAGCTAGTATTTAATATTTCAGATAAAGATTTCAAGAATGCGTTACCAAGAGGGAAGCTTCAAAAAAACTCCAAAACAAGCAATACTTTCTATACAGGTAACTCAGGGATGTAAAACAAATAAATAAAAAGAATTCTTAAAATAATTTTAAATTTTTTAATAATCCATGTAACAATGAGATAATTCTTATTCTTTTCGGATGAAAACTTTTCCTCGAATTCTACATTTCCTTTTCGGGGTAGGCTATTTCGATATTATGTACTTTCCTAAAGGGAGGCGGCAACTTTTTAAGGGTGTCTTTCTTAGCGGGAACTCCCTAAATCTGTTCTAGCTGCGATCGGCCAGCTCATTGCAGCCTTGGGTGCCTCAGAGGCCTAACATTACGCCTTAAATGTGCATTTCTTTATAAAAAGCTGGTTTTTTATTTAATCCCGCTCCTTTTATAAATAATAATAAATAATAAAAATAATTTATTGTTTTTTACAAAGGAATGTCATTTACTCTCAGACAAAATAGAATCAATGGAAATTTAAACCCTTTAAACCTGCACCCTCGGGTTTATCATTGAATCCCGATTCTTATTTGTCTGAGAGTAAATGATATATTTGAGAAGTTGCCTCAATTGGGAAAAAGCACATTTGGGAAGTTGCCAGCTAGGAAATTGTCACTTGGAAATTTGCCCTTTGGAAAAGGCCTTTGGCAAAGAACCTCACAATTCAAAGCTTTTACCACGGGGGTTCCCTTCTCTAGCTTTCTTTGTAGGTTATAGCAGTCTAAAGGAGCAGTAGCATATTCAGGGGGGGGGGGCGTAATTCCTTTGGCCCCTGAGCATACCCCCCCCCCACACTGCACACATTAATTCTTGAATTGGGACTTCATGTGGACTATGAGAAAGGAATGTGTTATTAAAGTTACAAAAAGTTTCATAATCATTTTGGGTATGGATTTTGGGTATGGATTTTGGGTATGGATTTTGGGTATGGATTTTAGGTATGGATTTTGGGTATGGATTTTGATAAAAATAACAATTTCAAAGTTGAACATATTTCCCTTTGCAACTTTACATTTGAGAAAATATATAGTTTTCAGATAAACGACTGATTTTTTTTTTCGTACGCGGAGCTTTGTTGTTTTTCTTAAACCCGACGTACGTATAACGACTCCACGACCTCGTTTGATTTCAAAAACCTTCCAAGTTTCTTAAAATATGACATTTTTAAACTACTCCCGTCAAATAATGCATGTTGGAAGCATTTGGAGTTAATTTTTTGATTTATTAATAAATAAAATAGGCAATCTTAATCATTAAACAAGATTACTCAAAGGATTTCAGCCTTTGTTACAAACTCTGATTTTTTAATCCCTGTACATTTGCAACGCAAAAGGGTTACAACATCAGATTGCAAAATATATGGTTTCTGTGGCAAAGACTCAATTCGTTTCTATTCCAAACTTTCGGCAATTTTATAAGGGTACGGTTCATTCTCTCTTAGTAAAACTTTGATTAAATTAATCTAGATTAAATCTATTTAAGGATTTGATTCAAATAAAAATGTCTGCTTCATAAATATGTTGGTACCGTGGACATGCAGTTTATATGGCTACCAACAAATATTAGTACTAAGGACATTGAGGAGAATTGAATAGAAGGAGAGGGCGATAGGGTTTCCGTACACTTTGCTGTGACGTTTTTGGACTGCTGAAGAACTAGTTTTTGCGCAACAACAATAACAAAGGCAGCCAATCTAATGTAAACAAACATGAGTTAGTTTACGGTGAATCTTCATCTAACGCACCAGAGATGCCAGATGTCTGTTTATCATTTGTGTTATTGTTTACAATCTTTATTATTGTTGTTACGCAAAAACTAGTTCTTCAGCAGTCCAAAAACATCACAGCAAAGTGTACGGAAACCCTATCGCCCCCTCCTGGACATGAAGTTTATATCCAGGGTTACCAACAAATATTGGTACCGTGGACATGAAGTTTATTTACAGGGTTACCAACAAATATTGGTACCAAGGACATGAAGTTTATATCCAGGGTTACCAACAAATATTGGTACCATGGACATGAAGTTTATATCCAGGGTTACCAACAAATATTGGTACCATGGACATGAAGTTTATATACAGAGTTACCGACAAATATTGGTGATGTTAAGTACTTTCCCAAAGGATTTTTCCCAAGTGGCAACTTCCCAAGGATATTTTCCCAAGTGGCAACTTCACAAATGAGCAATTTCTCAAGCAGCAACTTCCCAAGTGTATCCTAGCCGCAGAGTTCGGCCCCACAATGCAGCCTGCGGCGGTTGGGAGGGCCTAACCTAGCCTTTGGGAAGTTGCCGCATGGGACATTGCACATTTGGTAAATTGTCACTTAGGAAAATGCCTTTGGCAAAGTACCTTAAACCATATTTGTACCATGGATATGAAGTTTATATACAGTGTTACCAACAAATGACAATCTGAAAATCTTTCAATTTAACATAGGAAAAAAACTTTTCTTTAAAATCATTTATTTTATGATTTGGTAAAAAGAGAACAAGTTTCTATGAAAGTAAGAAAAGTCGTCTCTGAAGCCACATTTTTGTGGGTTACCCTGGATCTTTTTTCCCTTAACCTTTGACAACCTGATGGTGTAAACTTTTGATATTTAAAACTTGGATTTTTTTATCTAACAGGGTTATAGGATTATACAATATACATATTTATGTATTAGAAAATTAGAGTTTGTGTTTTATCTATTCGGTACTTTAAAATTTATTTTTTAGTTTTTTATGAAGCAAGCAATTTTCATGTTTGGGCCTCTTCCTTTCTCTTTGGCTGTTTTACTGTTTTACTTTTTTAACCTATTTTTAAAATCTAATTAGACTATACATCTTTTAGATCATCGTAGGTAAATCGAATAAAAAAATAACACGAGAGTTGGATAAAGCTTTAACAAGTGTTCATTAAATATGAGATAATTAGAGGTTTCGGAAAGGTTTTGTTTTGGTATTGGTTTAATTATGGTTTGGCTTTGGTATAGGTTGGGTTTAGGATTGGTTCAGGTTTGGTTTAGGTTGGGTTTAGGTTGGGTTTAGGTTTGGTTTTGGTTTGGTTTAGATTTGGTTTAGGTTTGGTTTAGATTTGGTTTAGGTTTGGTTAAGGTTTAGTTTAGGTTTGGTTTAGGTTTGGTCCAGTTCATAAAAGTTTTTGTTAGACAGATATGTATTTCGGCTAAAAATCGGTTTTACATTTTAAATGTTTGTTAAAGAAAGAGATAATTTAAAAGGTTTGGTTCAATGGTAGTTAAGGCATATTGAAAGTTTAACAGAGTATTTGTTAAGAAGACGATGAAATCATGCTCGGAGAAAGGTTTTATTTAAATATTATCCAGGTTTACCAAAGTATTTGTTAAGGAGACGATGAAATCAGACTCGGAGAAAGGTTTGCTTAATTTCCGTTCTATGTTTGAGAACTATCTTTTACAGGAGGAGATAAGGTGAGATCTGAAGGAAGGCTTGGATTATCTCCGGTCCATGTTTTAAGAACTATCTTTTACAGGAGGAGATAAGAAGAGATCTGGAGAAAGAAACTCAGCTTAAACTTGAACTAGAGCAGAGACATTCAGAGGATGACACCTATGTGGAACCAGGTAAGGGGAGGCCCCGAAGGAAGGAGGGGTTAGGAGAGGAGATAATAAAAATTGCTTTGCCTATTATTTCACAAATGCTATTTTTTAGTTTCATCTTGGGCTTTACCGTCAATTTTGTTCAGGAACTGTGTAAACCTTGGATATTTTAAACTACAAGATTGCTATTTATTTGATCTATTAGATGTCAATGTTTTAAATACCAAAGGTCTAGGGTATTTGGTTGCTAAGATATAGGGATATATGAAAATCAGACTTTGTGGCAATAACTCAGTTTCTTTCTGATGTAACAGCTTTCTCAACTCTTCAACCCGGCTCAAACATGGATAACCAGGCCAAACTTTATATTTTGTTTTAGTTTTAACTGTTATTAAGAGATCTTTTCATCCTTTCTCTCGATTAAATTATTGTTAATAATATTTTAGAGAGAGGACGGAGTAGATCTAGAAACCTTGAAACACGGGGAACTAGATCTAAATCCTCTGCTCCGGGTTCAGCTCAGATAACTAGCAGAGATCCGTCCTTAGCTCCAGGTACTAGCAGAAATCCATCCTTAGCTCCAGGTCCACCTCTACCACAGTCAACAGTTTTGTTCCAACCAACAGCATCAGCAACATCTTTATCAACACCCGGAAACAACAATGCTAATTTTAAACCGGTAAAACACCTTTTTACAAACTTTTCATCATCAAAAAACTTTTTGCGTGTATTATTCTAACTAGGCTTAAGAGTGCTTCGTACGTAGCCATTTAAGTAACAATTTTAGCTCTTAAATCTTGCTTTAAGCCGCAAATTTTCTTTCGCTAGTTTTTTGTTTACATTATTATTTTTTTATTTAAAAAATGGACAACTTTTTGCAATATTTTATATTTTGACCGACCACAAACCTTCCCTGGGTTCATGGAGTTCATGTGAGTTACCACAAAAAATATGCGTAAAAAGTTCACCTATTTAACACAATTTTAAAAAATGATATTGTTTTCACGATAATTTACGTTTTACTTTGACTTGATAAATCTTTAGGTAAAAGAACCGACCCCAGGATTTAAAAATAGATTTTTCCGAAACAAATCTCTAAACAGGGTTGGACAGGTAACAAATCTCTTAACAGGGTTGGACAGGTAACATATCTCTGAACAGGGTTGGACAGGTAACAAATCTCTGAATAGGATTGGACAGGTAACAAATCTCTGAACAGGGTTGGACAGGTAACAAATCTCTGAACAGGGTTGGACAGTTAACACATCTCTGAACAGGATTGGACAGGTAACAAATCTCTTGACAGGGTTGGACAGGTAACGGAATGGAGTCTTTGCCAGATTCTTTGCAACCCAACGTCGTAGACCTTATATATTTCAAACTATAATACTCTTAGATCAAATATTTTAAGCCTGAAATATCAAAGGCTTACACCAACAGGTTGCAAAGATATAGGGATTAGAAAATTTTGGTTTGTGGCAAAGACTCAATTCCTTTATTTATATTTTGTTAAAATATTTTAGTTTTGATCAAATGAATCCTATTTCAGAGACCGAGTATAGAAGAGTTTATTTCAAGATATTCCGTGAAACCTAGTCCTTGCTCCGGTCCAGTTAATCCTTCCTTCTCATCCTTCTCGAACCCGGAGAAGTTAAACCCAACCTCAGAAATCAGATTCACAACATTTAATGATCCTGCTCCAGTCAAAAAGGTTATAACAAAAAATTATGAACGAAGTTTTGAAGAGCATAATTTTTAAAAAACTTTTATAATTATGTTCGTAGATAGATAGATATAAAGATATATATTTCGCCTTCATCATTACAATATGAACATATAAATATATGTTTGTCTTCCTAATCACTAGGGTCCTTCTCACCACCACTTGAGATCCACACTTAGCCGATAGAACTGGGTTTAAAGTTTTATTTTAAGTTTATATTACTAATACTTATATAATTATCAATTATAATTTAATGTTACCCTGTCCAAGATACAGGGTCATCTTATTGGATCATGTTATAGCTTTAAATTGCGATTTCCAGGACTAATCAGAATAATAAAAAAGGACCAACCATTTCAAAAATTGTATATTGCTAATAAAAAGATTTGCATGTAGAAAATACTAGATTTTTTTAGTATTTTGTTCGCAATTTAGCATTAAAGCTTTGATATAATCTAATATGACATGGGACGCTCTGTATCTAAAACATCTTCTTTATAAAGTTGTAATCTCTGTTTGTCTGTTTGTTTGTTTGTCCGATCATAACTCAGTAACCTTTTGACCTTTGTCTTAATTACTTTACGACAAAGCATTGGGGATTATTGGGTTTACACGCTTGTATTAAATAAAATATATAGAATAGAATAGAATAGGATAAACACATAAAAAATTTCAACAAAATTAGTTTATAACTTTTAAGAAATCTACCGATGTCAGAGGCCAAAACTTTTAGCATGAAAAGCGCTTAGCCTCAAAGACTGAACTTAAAATCCTTCAAATTGAGGGATCAAATTTTAGGGGAACCAACTTAGCTCGTTGTTAACGTAAGAAGACAAAAGTTTTGAAATATGTTGACTGTGTTCAGGTGAATACTGGTAAGCGACCAACTGACCGGCCTGCTGACGTCATCAACCAGGAACTGAAGCAAATGTATCTGAGAGAAGCTGAACATAGGTAAATTATCATTTACACATTTGTGCAAACACAATCTAGAATCATAGTCTTAAAGAGAGTGACCTTCTAGACATGGTAGTTGAGCTGAAAGTATTGTAGAGAAAAAAGTTTAGGATTCATATTACACCAATAAAACATTTTTACGGTGTACAATTTTTTAACAAGAGCGTAAAGCCGTTTGTAATATTTCACCAGTTGTTCCAGTCAGTGCAGAAGAAAGGTTTTTTACAATTATGTAATAACCCGGTCTTATAGGTATCAAATGAATCCTATAGATTGTCTCTACAATACTACACTTTAAACTCAGCTTCCATGTATAGTACGTCACTCCTTTAAATTAAAATAATCTTTTCGATTTTAAGTAAATGGCGTCGGTTTAAAAGTTTTGTAGAGGATTTTGAGAAGTTTGTATTCTATGAAAGGGCCTGGGGTACACCTCGACCAAGTCCCCTTCTCTATTTACTAAAGCATCTCCTCATTTTTTAGATTGGGATCATCCCCAAACCTGCATATACAGTGGGGTGTCCTATGGGGGTCCAATTAACTGGGAGCCCCCAGCTAAAAAAAAACCCTCCCCCCTTGACAAATTATTCTATACGCCCCTGATCCCCCCTTCCTTTATGGTTCAGTAAAGTTTCTTTGCAAGCTGAAAGGAAGAGACAATGGGATCTTTATTTGATTTTAATGAGATATGATACCGAAGATATTACGAAGATGTTACGAAAAGTATGAGTGTCAGAGTGAATCGTTTCAGTCACTTTTCGTATTAACCTATACTTTTGCCCTGATAATTCCAAAGAGTGTTCCTTTGTTTACAATGTAGACTCCGAAAATGAAATGTCACATAAATAATGTCTATAAAGAATCCAGATAACAAGCTCCAAGTATCTCAAACTACTTTTTACTTCTAACTTTTTCTATCGTCATCTTATTTATTGATTACAGGCGGAGTTATATAACTAGACTTGGGCAGAAGAAAGAATAAAACTAGTGGACAAGTGATAAACATTTATATAAGCTTGATGTTAGGGAAATCGAATAAAGTGATAGATTTGATAAACTCACCAAACAGTGATACAATTGTCTAATGGAACGTGATGATAAATAAACAAAAACAAAAAACTGTTTTTTTTAACTAAAGGCACTGTAAACGTCATACTGATTATTTTCATTCGCGATTTCTCTCCAAAAATGACTTGCAGCACAGCAAGGGAGAAACTTACAGAAATAAACACTGTTCGAGTCAGAAAAACGATGATATCTTCTATATTTTTGATCAGATCATGGTTTCATGGGTACTATAGGGTTTCCAGCGAACGAAAACGTTCGCGAAAATATGTTAAAATTTTTTGTTCGTATTTCGCAAACTTTTTCGCGAAAAAAATATTCCGCGGAAACCATCAGTTTTGTAGCTGCAACAATTAATTGCTCAAAACTTGTGGAATTCTCTTCTCTCAGAGTTCAAAATTAGAAGTTATCATAATTAAAAATTTTCGCATTTGTTTTTTTGGCGAAACTTTCGCATTTTTTCGCGAAACAGATTAACGCAAAATTTCGTGAAAAAAGCGGGAATAAAATATTTGGGAAAAATACAAAATTTTCGCAAAACGATTTTCCGTTTTCGCTGGAAACCCTTAGACTGGGTACTGTTGAAAATTGGACATTGCCATCTTTGAATGGAGGGTAAGGGTAATCAATATTGGAATTGAGCCAACCGCCAACCAGAGGTCGCTGGGTTTTCACTTAAAAAAAATATTGCAATTAAAAAAAATTTTCAAAATCGTCCAGAAGGTTGCGATTTGACGATTTAATATTAGAGAATTCACCGTAAGGCCATAAAAAATTTTATTTTTTATTTTCATGTTATACATCATTTTCTTGGAAATTTAATGCCGAATTCAAATCAGAAAAGCGTTTTTAAAAAATTGAAAATTGAGTGAGTTAGAGCTAAAAAACTAATCAAAAACATTAACAAGTTAAAAAACCTGAATTTAGTATCGTTATTTGGCCATAACTTCTTTAGATTTTAATATTTTTAAAAATGGTTTTCGAATCTGAATTCAGCATGAAATTTCCAAGAAAATGATATGTATCATATTTTTTTTTTTTTTTGCCTTACGTTGATTTCTCCAATAATAAATTGTCAATTCGCAACCCTATGGACGATTTTTAATTTTTTTTTATTACAATATTTTTTATAAAGTAAAAACGCAGCTACCTTAAGTGGGCGGCTGGCTGATTTCTAAAAAAAAGTCACAAATCAATCACACCTAATGGAGGGTCACTTAAAAATACGCTTACAGAGGGACTAGTCGATTGACTGTAATAAACACTTTTATACAATATAAGAGTACTGCAATTTCTGAGAGAAATATAAGCAAATTCAGACTGTCACCAATGCTACGAGTTTCCTAATTAATCTTTCAGATTATCAGAAACAAAGAGTTTTCGTTTGTAATTCATAGTGTTTTCTTATTCTATAATGTATCAATATCAGTATTATTTAGATATTTATTTCATTACGATTGATAAAAAATATATATACATTATAAAAAAGTATTTGAAGTGCTAAATCATAAAAAAATCTTGACAATACACTTTTGTTGACATTGTTATCTATACATATATACTTTGCTTGTCTGTTTGTTTTGTTTGGGACCTCACATGACCCTAGGGAAAATTTCGTGGATTTTCAGAATTTTTACGAAAACAAACATTTATTGAAAACAATTTTTTGTAATTCTGATTCTAGGGACATGTGAGGTCCCACAAAAAAATTGGCCCGATCAGTATAGTCGTTTTGACGTTTATCGGTTAAATACAAACAAACAGACAAGCAAAGTATGTTTATATAGATATATATGGGAATTATTGTAAAAGATCTACTTTTATGTTTTGTTTCAAAAATGTTGTTGAAAAAAACTAAACCAAGTGAAGTTAATGAGACAAAGCCCAGTGCAGCATAGTTAATTGTTATATTTATAGTAGAAACTATGATCAAAACTACCAATTTATTGTTATAGAATAATATTTCTGCAGCAAAATCCATAACTCTGCGTAATATCTTTATTGATCTTAAATATAGTCCAATCAACATGAAACACAGGAATTTTATGCAGTGTTCACCTAGACCCATTTCAAAATTTTCAAGAAGTTATCAATGTGTTTTTAACCTATTTATAAGGTGTCTTTCACATGTATAATTGTTGAAACCGTATCCACAAAATGTTCCAATCCTGACAATTCCAAAATGTGGTCTGCCTTTTTTGTACAGTTTTCAATTATAGTCGGAGATATTAAGAATTTCGTTCAGATTTCACTTTTATTAAATAAAACCAAAATTGTTGAATCTGAACGAAATTCTTCATATCTCCGGTAATATTGAAAGTACAAAAATGCATACCACAGATACAGGGTGTTCCACAATACATGACAGTTGGTAAATATAGTTATGAAAGTCGTCTTTCATATACTTTCTTAGATATTAAAGGATTTTTGCAGTTAATTTCGTGAAAAATAATCTTCTTTTTTTGAAACCTATTTTACTTTGAAACCAATTCTACTATAACATGACTCCCATATAATATTTGTATTGTTGTCTAATTGATATTAAACAACTTATCAAATTATGGAAGAAGACATTGTAAACTATTCAACAACTGTCATGTTGCATGGGACACCCTGTATGTTCAATAATCAAAGACGACCTTCAATTCGTATTGCTACTGTCATGTTTCGTGGAACACACTGAATAATTCTCTTTTTATGACCAGTCCATGTGTTAGCTTGCATTAATAAACTATTTACGTTTATATTTGTTTAATATCATTTAATTTCCAAGCTGCTAAAACTATATTCTGATGACAACATCGAAATTCAAGAATAGTAAATCAGCGACGAGGACGATTTCGAATTCATTACTCAATTCCAATTCTAATTTCAAACCCTGTAAAATAAAAAAGTAGACCTGTGGTAAATGTCGTCTTTGTAGAAGACAAGTGTTATACATAAACAGAGTTTATCCCTCAGATATTGCGATGGAAAATGCAATAGCTCTGATTTTATATACAGGTTACCCACAAAGAATAAGACTGTGAAGACGACCGGAATCTGTTAAAATGTGACGATATAAGTTTAATTTATGTAATACGCCTTAGGTGACTTTATAGATATAGTTATCTAACGGCTTATTTTGACAAAGAAACAAACAAGTTTACAGTTGCAGGGAATCGTGAATATAAGGAAACAGAGAGTATAAATTCCGTACAGTCGTCTCTTATGTCCCAACTTTTGTGGGTAGCCCTGTATGATTATTTTAGTTCAATGTCTCTTGCATATATTTTCTCTTTCAACTTATATGATTTTAAAATTTGAAAAGCTAACGAGGCCATATTAATTCTTCAGAAATTGGGTCTAATTAAATATTGACAGCCATTGAGGACTTCTATGAATTGAGTTACAAATGGCATTTTAAAAATCTTGGAACGCATTAATTTTACTATTAAATAATTTCCTCGATTTTGGCTCGAACAATTTAAAGTCTCATTTTTTTAAAAAGACCATTGAGTCCTTGAGGGTTAGAAATTTGTTTTAAAACTTTATATTTACCTTTGTGGGGAATTTGAATAAATATTTATATCAAAACTCATTTTAAAAAGATTTCTTTTACAATTTTGATGTTACAAGTTACACAACACACTTAATTAATAAAAATCGCCATGTCAATTCAACGCTTTTAATATTATTTAAAAAATTAAGGTTTTGAATCAGATAACTTTCATCAGATTTTTATGAAATTGACAATCAATTAAGAGATATTAAGACTTAACCCACTATTCGTCCTAATTTTCATTTCAATACAAAACATACAAAAGTTACAAATTAATTTTTGTTTTGAAAATACAAAATACAAATAACAAACTACGGATTAAGATGATTCTAAATAAGACTGATGAGTGATGACTTGATAGAAAAGTACAAACATAAAAGTACAAACATTTTACAATTTGATGCTGACCATGTGGGACCTGTGGATGAATAAACAAAGTACAAAATAAAGTTAAATAATTGTGTTTTCTTTAAACGTCTAGTTTTGTGAAATGTGCATTATATAGGTAATTTTCAGAAAAATATTCGCGACCTCGAATCAGAAGTGACCACTGTTGTCAACCATTAACGTCCTACCTTACTTCGTTGTAAGGTCGTCTTTGACCAAGATTTTCTCCGGTGGCCCAACCCAACATTTTCTTAGCTCCGGCATAATTTTATAAACAACCTCCTCATGTAGTGATCATGTTTCAAAAATAGTAAAGACTAAAAAATTCGTGATTTGCAGTGAACGAATCTTTGTTACCAAACTGTCATTATTTTCAGAAGTTTAAATGTTTTATTCCTGATCATTAGAAACCCCCATTTAATCTACTTGCGCTCAATAGTAATATTTAAAACCCATTATTATTCATAACCATATGTCAAAGATTTATAAAAATATTTCATCATTTAAATGTAACTATTTTTTGGTTGGAAATATATCAATATTGGATTATTGTCGACTACATCAGTAGAGAGAGTGGGGAAATCGAATTTGATGAACTTATAGACGCCCCTGGACAATAACCTAGGCTCTGACCTCCCCAGGGAAATCCTCTTGATATTCTTAGATGCCTAGGGATTCACCCCTTTGGGAAATCGCCCATTTGATCTTCCATAGAGGCCTTTAGCTCTACAACTGTATATTGTCAAGTTAGATCATTTACGTCAACTCTGTCAACAGAACAACGAACAGAAATCATATTTTAATGGCTTCTGAGCTGAAAACTTTAGAATGGATAAACTTTAATCCTGACTTCTTGATCCGAATATCCACTGTGGAAACTTTTCATTTTAGTCCTTAATCCACTCTTTTTCTCTCTCCTTGGATATCCGTTAATTGTTTTCTCCAATGAGAATATTTCTGTTCCCTCATTGGTTGCCCGCTTTTCTCTGATTGGCTGCTACAGTTTCTCAGATGACTAAATATTAATATGAATTTTATCGCTTTTCATACACTTTTAAGATAATCTTGCAAGATTATGTTAATCTGGAGATTAAGAAAAAGAGTGGATCAAGCATTAATCCCGATATCCACCATTCAAAAGTTCCCAGCTCTGGTTAGATACAGAAAAATGAACAAAGACTATTTAATCAAGTTAGGCACTTTAAATATTAGATATTTAAATTTAAATATTTTAAAAAACAAGTTTTCCCTTGGCAGTATTTTCGCAATTATGATTATGCTTTTCTCCGGGGAAGAATAAATGAGTCCAGGTTAGATTACGCCTTCTCTCTTGAGAAGGATGAAAGAGTCAGGGTTAGATTACGCCTTCTCTCCGGAAAAGGATGAATGGGTCCGGGTTGGATTACTCCTTTTCTCTTGAGAAGGATGAAAGAGTCGGGGTTAGATTACGCCTTCTCTCCGGAAAAGGATGAATGGGTCCGGGTTGGATTACTCCTTTTCTCTTGAGAAGGATGAATGTGTCTGGGTTAGATTACGCATTCTCTCCGGAGAAGGATGAATGAGTTCATGTTGGATTAGTCTTTCTCTCCGGAGAATGTGTCCTGAAGCTTAAGAATTAATTGATTTTCCTCTCTTGAAATCAATTCCTCAAGAAACCTAGAAAGTGTTGAGAATATATATTAGGCATAACATACAGGGTGTCCCACAAAACATGACAATAGCAAGACGACTTGAAAGTCGTCTTTGATATTTGAATTTATTTTTGACATTTATTCTTCTATATACTTCAACATGTATGATTCTTGAAACAATTATCACATAATTCTCCTAGCCCTGGCATTTCCAAAAAGTGGTCTGCGTTTTTTGTGCTTTCAATATTACCGGAGATATAAAGAGTTTGGTTCAGATTTCAATTTTGTTAAATAAAAGCAAAATTGTCGAAATCTGAACGGAATTCTTCATATCTCGGGCAATATTGAAAGCACAAAAAAGGCAGACCACTTTTTGGAAATGCCAGCACTAGGGGAATTTTGTGATTATTATCTCTAGAAAAAATTACTTCAAAAATTAGGTTGACAAATAAACGCAGCAAATTATATCAAAAATCAAGACGAAATTCAAGTAGTCTTGCATACTGTCATGTTTCGTGGGACACCCATACATTCTGAACTTTCGACCTTATACTAACTTTCCGATCCCAACTGCAATATCGGACCTACGCCAGCTGTTGATTTTTGTATTTTGAGGGTTAGGTTAAGACAATTTCTGGGCCGAGCGCAGCGGCTAGGACGTAGGCTAGGGGGGCGGGCGCTGCGGCCACAAGTCCATATCTCAGCTGTAAAACCACGTGCTATAGGTCGGATGTGTTGTATAGCGGATTTGGCGTAGGTCAGAAGTGGAGTATAGCGGATATGTGTAGGTCGAAAAATACACCATCCCCGTCGACCACTATCATATATCCACTTCTCTAAAGAAAGAACGGGCTCTGAACGAATTCCCATGGCCACGACTGTCAAAGACGACATATTAAACACCTTCCATTCCAAATTAGTTTGATAAAAGAAAGCTGAAATATTAACCAATGCCGCGTATTCTTACCAAAACAAATATGGCGATTAGTAGCATTTCTACTGTAATCTACGTGACATTAGATAAATCTATAAATACTGGTTATTCACATCTTTTTAACGACGAAAAAGTATATCAAGTGAATTTTGTATTATTCTATTTTCAGATTTTTACTTTATCAGTAAATCTACATTGCCTAAAGAGATGATTCAAAGATGCTAATCTTTACACTATTTGAAATTAAATTCAAATTCATGGGAACATAAACAAACTTGTAAATTGAGATTTTGCTAATCTAATCAAGGTTCAGGATGGCCAGTATACGTGTAGGGGACCCGGAAGACCATAATTGGTAAGAATAATTTATTATGGTTTGATTTCACTTAATAAAAATTTTTTTAACTATACAATGCAAAAGAGTTGAAAGAAGTTGATGTTATCTATTTCATCTTTGCTAACAGTGGTGGGGTCCTTCCTAGTATACAATTTTTGGACCGTCTCCCCCCTCCCCCCTCCTATCAATTTTGTATATGACCACTTTTTCAACAATTTTCAACAAAATTAGTATATATTTAGTGTTAGGTTGGGTCAAGACACTTTCTGGGCCGATCGCTGCGGACACATGGTCAATTATATTCATGTCATACGTGTAAGATCCATGTACACAATTGATTGGGGAAGTGGGGGGGGGTCCAAAAATCGTATATTAGGAATTTACCAAGTGGTGGCTAATAAGGATTGTAAGAGATAATTTCAAGCGATTCTCCGTTTAAAGATGGCAATGCAAGATTTGCAACGGTACCCTTGAAACCTATTTATAATCATCGCAAAAGAAGATATTGTCATTTTTCTTGGTTTAAAATTTTACTATTCTGGTCAGTTCTATAGGATTTCCCGCTGTAGAAATGTTCAAGTTATTTTTGTAGAGAAACCTCTAATGTAAAATAATCTTTATTTTAAATTATATATAAATTGATATCAAAATCATACTTTGAAGTTTTGAATCAGGCATTGTCATCTTTGCATGAAGGGTCACTTGAAATTACGTTTACAAACCTTTTAATGGGTAATCATCCCCCCACCACCCTTGGAATAATAGAAAGGGAGAGGGGACAGCCTTTAGTTATAATATTTTAATTTATAACAGATTTTTACTGAAATGGATAGGGGCACCACATTCCCCCTTTCTCTTTACAGGGTTTTTATGTTATACGATCTAACTTAACCTTAATTAATGGGGGGGGGGGGTGCACATTTATTACTTATTGTATTTATTAACTTGTTAAAGTTTGATTTTATTCTTGTTTAGGAGTTATGCTGGTTCTAGTATGGATGTTCCGAGTATCATGGTGTTCCGTCCAACCTGGGAGGAGTTCAAGGACTTCAACAAGTACATGGAGAAGATAGAGGCGCAGGTATTGATTGCGGAACCATTAACTTTTCAAAAATGTATATATCTAATCCAAACTGTTCTTTTTTAAAAATCATTACCCAATTGACCATGAACCAAACTGATAATATGCCCCTAGTACTACCAAGTTTCCCAATCAAAATTTGAGGAAAATTGGTTAAACGTGTTGATCAAGCAAACATACAAAAAATATTATTAGTTACTTTTTAACTTTCATGATCAAAGCTTAAAATATAATTGTATTCACTAAACTGTCTTAACGAGGTGAAGAATAGGAATAAAACACATATATCCCTTCTTTTTTAACTTGTTGGTCCCCTTTTTTCTTATTGTTCTTAATTACATGGATTCATTAATGATTTTTCTTATTCAGGGAGCACATAAAGCTGGGTTAGCGAAGATAATCCCTCCGAAGGAATGGGTTCCGAGGAAAGCAGGATATAATCTGAAAAGAGACAAAACCCTTCAACAGATGAAGATACCGAACCCTATTTGTCAGGTATCACTTTTTTCGAGCATTCATATGCCATTGTAGAATTTTTAAGTATAGCACTTCGTTTTTTCATTTTTTAACACAAGTTATAAAGGATTAGATTTACTGACAACCTTTTTTTCTTATTAACATTTTCATAAGTTGGTACAGCGTTATTGTGCTTAAGAAAGGAAACTGCGAACAATAAAAATGCAAATTAAAATATAACAAAAAAAATTTTTTGTAGGTTTTGAATATTAAACTTTTTTCTTCAAGATCTCGACTGTTTTCGGAAACATTTTTTTTTTCATTTAATTTCTAGATTTCAGAATTTGGTAAATCTTGTTATATTCTAGGTTGTAAACGGGAACCGTGGAATATTCCAATCAATCAATGTTCAGAAGAAAACCATGACGGTGAAAGAATATCAGGAGCACACTAAAAATGACGGGTAATAAATCAATCAATGAACTTTCAAACTTTAAAATCTTATTTTTTATTTTTGTAGATATGAGCCACCGAAATACAATGATTATGAGGAGCTGGAGCGTAAATACTGGAAGAATGTAACGTTTATCGCTCCCTTGTATGGGGCAGATGTATGCGGCTCCATAACTGATCCTAGCTGCGATCATTGGAATATCGCAAGATTGGGATCCATACTCGATTACGTAAACAAGGTAGAATGGAGAGAGACTAAAAAGGGGAACCCCCCAACCTAGTTAAAAATTCTTTTGTTAATACTGCTATTTAAAATTGACATTTCAAATAATGATTTTCAATTACGTTACAGCGAACTTAAGGAAATTTTATTGTACTAAGGGTTCCCAAGACCAATTTTGCAAACAAAACATCCAGAGCGTAGCGAGGGTTGTTTTGAAGGCAAAACGTAATTTTACTTAAATCTCACAAGGTACAGTTAAGTAACATCCTACTGTTAGGGGTAATCTTGGGTCGGTAAAATTGGTCAAATCTTGGGTCGGTAAAATTGGTCAAATCTTGGGTCGGTAAAATTGGTCAAATCTTGGGTCGGTAAAATTGGTCAAAAGGCGGTAATTTAATAAATGTCTCAGAATGTTTTTTTTATCAAATAGATAATATGGAAACCCCTTGAAACTCGGATAGATTAGATGGTTTAATGTTTATTATATTCTAGGATTATGGAATTGAGATCAACGGTGTGAACACAGCGTACTTATACTTTGGTAGTTGGAAGACGACATTTGCCTGGCATACAGAGGATATGGATCTCCACAGTATCAACTACTTACACTTTGGAGCATCCAAGTTCTGGTACTGCATACCACCCAGGTTCATGAAGAGATTTGAACGACTGGCAGACGGAATGTTTCCCCAGTTGAAGAAGGAGTGTCCGGCCTTTCTCCGGCATAAGATGTGTCTCATCTCCCCCAACCTGCTCCGCCAGCACTCCATCCCCTATAACAAGGTGGTCCAACATGAGGGGGAGATTATGATCACGTTTCCTTGTGGATATCACTCAGGTTTTAATACAGGTCAGTTTTTCGTTTTCATGCGACAAAAAAAATGAAAGTGACCTGTTGGATCTTATGATAGGTCTTTAGGACATAAAAATCCCAAATTGTCGGGAAGGAATTAAAACCGCAGTTTTTTAATTTAATTTAAATGTTTCTTTTTTGTTGTTATTTCTTTCTTACATATATTTTTGTAATTTAAAATCTTAATTTTTATATATAATAAGCATGCCTTTTTCATTTTTTATATAATAAGCATGCCTTTTTCATTTTTTATATATAATAAGCATGCCTTTTTCATTTTTTATATAATAAGCATGCCTTTTTCATTTTTTATATAATAAGCATGCCTTTTTTTTTATATAATAAGCATGCCTTTTTCATTTTTTTTATATAAAAAGCATGCCTTTTTCATTTTTTATATAATAAGCATGCCTTTTTCATTTTTTTATATAATAAGCATGCCTTTTTCAGGGTTTAATTGTGCTGAGAGTACGAACTTCGCTACCCCTAGATGGGTTGAGTATGGGAAGAGAGCCTCCAGGTGCCATTGCAAAGCTGACATGGTCAACATATCCATGGATTGCTTCGTCAAACGATTTCAACCTGAAAGGTGATTAAAGTATTTGAAATAATTGACATAAAACATCATTAAGAAGAAAACAGAAAATTTGTGTTGGGGGATTATTTAGTTAGGAGTTGTCAGAATCTCTTATGGGGTTTAAGATTTGAATGAATGAAAAATTTGACCATTAAACATATATCTAACCCCCCCCCCCCCATATAAGAATGCATGTTTCTCTTTTCTTATTGTTTGTTGGTATTAAAAAAGAAAGACGATTGCAAAATTCCCCTCGACTGGTCTGAGTACCTAGTCTAAATAACTAGCGCCGGTGTCGTACGTGGAGACTGAGAGTTTACCCTCTATGTGTTCTAATCATTCTAACTTTGGGTCTGATGCCTAACATTGTGCAGAAATGGTGTAAACACTAGAGAGTAGGATCACGCAGGGTAGGCTCTCCACGCACAACACCGGATATACAATAATTGATTGTTTACTTGTTATTATTTTATCACATTTATTAATGTAGGTATGAGAACTGGTTGGCTGGAAAGGATCTAGGATACCATCCTGAAGATGATCCTAAGATGAGTAAGATGTCTATAGCTCCTCCTCCTAGTGCAGAGGAGTTCCTAATCAATAAAACAAACGAAGAGGTATTTATTTATTTATTTCTTTTATTTTATTTTTTATTTCACGAGATTGGAAATGTGTTTGTGTTGGATTCTCTTAATCCCGATCCTTTGTGTTGGATTCTCATAATCCCGATCCTTTGTGTTGGATACTCATAATCCCGATCCTTTGTGTTGGATTCTCATAATCCCGATCCTTTGTGTTGGATTCTCATAATCCCGATCGCTTGTGTGCACTATTAACTTGAGAAGCTCAGATCAGTAAAAAAAACTTTATTTCGTTTAAATTTTTCCGAAGTTAAAAAATTAACATTTTCAGCCTGACAACACCATTTTTAATAGTTTTAGATTCATCATATATATTTGAAATAGAATTGTTATACCCTTCATCATATAAAACGGACAAGTAACGTTTAATTTTACTCCAGACCTTGTTCTGATTCCTATATATTTGCAACTTGATTGTGTAAATCTTTGCTATTTCAAACTTTAATTATTTGATCTAACTTAATTCACTATTTAAAATATCTAAAGTCTATGATATTGAGTTGCAAAGATGAACTGATTAGACAGATTAGAGTTTGCAGCGAAGACTTAATTTCCATTGGCTCCAAACATCCTTTGAGTGTTACGAGAGATGTATTGCAGGCCAAATTGGTCTAGGGAATCTGACTCAGATTATCTGGGTTAAAACCATGGGTGAGGGGTTGTTATGTTACTTAAATATCAGAAAGGACCGAAAAGTAAAATAACATTACGTCGTAGTATTTTATTGAGGAGTCCTGGGACCAAATCTAATAAATTTGGGGGTTCGCTGAACTGTTTAACGCCGCTTAAAATTTGAATCACCGATTCAAATCCTTCCTGAAACTTTAACGTTGAATCTGTGGTTCAAATTTGAACCGGCAACTTCCAGCGAAGTAGCCAAAGTTTATATTTAAATTCGGTCACTTGGATTTAATTATAAATGAAAATAGTTTTTCCGAGAATCGTAAAAGCTTTATTAAATTATGTTTAACTGTGTGTTTAATCATAATTAAATAGATTTAATGGATGTTCAATTAAAATTTAATAAAAGTATTTATTCAACCAAATTGTTCTATTAATAATTAAGACAACAAATATTTTGCTGTATCATAATGCATTACAGTGATCCCCATAAAAATGAAATAGAAAGACCACAATGAAACAGTCCTAATTCTAACAATTAGCTTGAAATCAACCTATTAAGGTTTCGGGTCTGTTTACACTGCTTAATTAAGAATTAAGATGTGTTTCTTGTTTATTGGACTTTTAAAAATCATATGGGTCTGATCCGTTGGAAATGGATCCTCACCATTTTGGCTTCCGAGATCCGGATTCGCAAAAATATGCAGATCCACGGATCCGGTTATCCAAGGGACAAAATATCAACCAAAAAATGTTAGGCAACTTTTTTTCTCTCCAATCCCAAATCTGAACTTTTAAAAAAGAAATATTTAAGAAGATCTTTATTTCTAAATCGTTCATCGAGAGAAATATTTAAGAAGTTCCTTATTTCTAAATGGTTCATCAAGAGAAAAAAATTTAAAAAAGTATATCTTTAAAAAAATATTGACGACCTGGATCCGGATCTATTTTTTCAGCGCGGGTTAGGATCCGGATCCGCTTCAGAATGAAATGTATCCTAAACACTGGGTCTGTCTGTTTAAAATAGTCAGATTTGAAATATTTTTCTCCAGGTTCCAGACTGTATCCTCAACCCTGATCTGAGTAAGAAGAAACACAAGAGGCATCCGATCCATCGAACCCTGGGAGGACGGAGTATGGCAGGATTTACTCAGGATACTCCTAAACCTAAGGAGGTCAGTTGTGAAGTGAATAACAGAGTTAATTAATATCCCCCCCCACCTCCCGATTTCCCTCTACTGGAAGACTGTTCCCCCTCCTAGGTGGCTGATATCTAAAAGGGTTTTAATATTCCATAAATTAAAATTTCTAACTCTTCACTCTAATATTTATAAAGAATAAAAGAATAGATTTTGAAGTAAGAAACATCAAATTAATATCCCCCCTCCCCTCCCGATTTCCCCCTACTGGAAGACTGTTCCCCCTCCTAGGTAGCTGATATCTAAAAGGGTTTTAATATTCCATAAATTATAATTTCTTACTCTTCACTCTAATCTTTATAAAGAATAAAAGAATAGATTTTGAAGTAAGAAACATAAAATTTATATTCCCCCCCCCTCTTTCCGATTTCCCCCTACTGGAAGAATGTTCCCCCTCATAGGTAGCTGATATCTAAAAGGGTTTTAATATTCCATAAATTATAATTTCTTACTCTTCACTGTAATCTTTATAAAGAATAAAAGAATAGATTTTGAAGTAAGAATCATTAAGATTAAGATTTTTTAAATTTTACACTTAATTGAATTGATTTGTATTTGCTTTATTAAAATTATGAATACTTTATACTTTTAAAAAATTAAAAAATCTTTTTAAAAAGTTTTATACCCATCTAACTTCTAAAAATATTTTTTTGTGCGATAATTTTAGGAAATAAAATAACTGTAATTATTAGAGATTAAAAATTTTTCCTGAAGATTTAAAGGTTCTTGAAAATATACAGGGTTACCCACAAAGAACACAGTCTGTTTTCTTATATTCATAGTTCCCTGATTTATAACTTCTTTCTTTCTTTGGCAAATCATAAAATAAGATAAGCCATTAGAAGATATTTATATGATAGAAGACTTGATTTAATATTTTTTTAGTTTCAATTCGTCTTTACAATCTCATCCTTTGTGGGTAACCCTGTATATCCCTTGGATTAAATAAATATTTCAATGTTTGTGAAACAATCAATGAAAGTTACAAGTTCTCTTTGTTTTATAATTATGAGAAAATTATGTGAAACACAAAGGAAGATTTACTGGAATTGGTTTTAACAATTTAGCTAATGGATTGAATAGATTTATATGATTAATGAATTGAATATACTTTAATGCTTGAAATCTATAATTAGGATTGAGTCACAAAACCTCGAATCCATTTTCTTTCTCTTTCATCAAAACAATTCTATTTTAGAAATATTTATTGACGCTTTAAGGGACTATATAAGCGTAATTTCTAGTGAGCACCAATTCAAAGATGTCAATGCCCGATTCACTTTGGTACTCTTGAAACCCTTTTCCTGATCGATAATGTAGAAGATATTGAAACAATCTCAAGAACTGACGAGGGTCAACCCAGACCGAAATATATTTTCAATAAATGTGGAACTAACATCTACTTTTTTACTCTACAGAGGTTTGGTCCATCACCATCACTGAATTTTAGATGTTGTCGTTTTTCTACAAGTAAAGATAATGAATATCTAAAATTATAAACCAATATGGTGGTACGGTTTGATGAGAGCTTAACCCTGACTCCCCTGGGATGATGGTTGACCATTTTATTTATTTATTTATTGTTATCTAAACTCATGCTTAATCATATAAAGCTTTATAGGGTACCGCTGTGAATCGGGCATTGCCATCTTTGTATGGAGAGTCACTTGAAATTGATTTTACTCTTTAAAACAATGTTTAATTCGATTAATTGACAATTTGTGAATGTTTTGTTATGATTTTTAATATAAAAGAACAGCAAGGATATTGCTGATTTTTGTTGTATTCATGATAGACATATTCAAACCATTGTTTCTTTAGATAAACTTTAATGGATACTTCTTTAATTCTGTGAATTGTTCACAATAATCTTAAATCATTGGATTCTTCAAGAAATTTATGGTTTTTGGAAAATCTGAGCAAACTTTTTAATATACTCCATTTTCAGGGCTCATTCGGGAACAAAGGAGATGACTCTGATAGCGACACAGGTACATTTCATTCCTCATTCTTCATCCCTTCATCTTTCTTTATGAAATCTTGAGATAAGGGGATAGGTATTAAGAGTTGTTGATATGTTAGTATACATAATGTAGAATGTAGATTACATTGGGAGGAAAAAATGCAGATTGCTTAATGTTAATCGTGCTTGCCGCTCGTGCTGACGAGAAATCGTTACAAGAAAAATACTAATGTTTTTGTGACTTCAGAGTCCGATTTTAATGAACTTGATCCGCGTCTCAAATCCACCAAAAACCGGTTTCAATTGAGCGCCAGCTTAAATCTTAAAACATTGAATACAATTTTAAGTGGAACCAACCATATTTGAGCTGGCCTGATAAAAAAAACTTATCGGTCGTTGAAATTGGGCACCTTATTAGCGACTTCACCTTTACACATCAAAGATTGACCGGTTTTCACATATTTTATCTAGGTATAGAGCAGGCTATCTATGATTATGACTATGAAGCTCTTGAAGATATATGGTTGAAGGCTGGAGAGATGGAACCTTCTGATGCTACGTTTACTACTGATGAAGGATATGGGAGCAGGTAGAAACACTAGAGCTTCTTCCCACTTTTTTTGCGAACCCTCTTGATTAATGAACTATTTCTGATTTATCAAAATTAGATAGATCTCATTTGACTAAAATTTTCGGATTTAAAAAATAATTGGAACATTATTTTACCGAAGGTTTTTGATCATCTAGAATTGAATATTAAAAATGTAACTAGTGCAGGTTCCTGGGATTTAATTAAATGTAAATCAACGAACGCAGTAAAATTTATATTTCTAGCTCTGCATTTGCTGTTTTTGATTAAATTTTATGATGAAAGTTTGGCTTAGAACACGCAAATATTACAAAAACTAATGATTGCTTTTTATGAGTCCTTTTTTATTATTTTAATCGGATTATGGGGAACTCGAACGTTTTTCTTTAACTTTTCTTCTAGAAGATGGGCGCTTCAGCCTAGAAATAATGGCGCGAAGCGCCCTGAATTTCTAGTAATCTATATTTAACTAATATTTAGTAAGAAAAGACGACATTCTGGTAACTCGATGGAGGAGGAAACTAATTATAAGAAGACCCGCTGTGGAGTCTGTCAAGGATGCATCAAGGTAAAAAATTAACCAAAATAATGCAGTTTTTATACAGGGTTATCCACAATGGATGAGACGATTGTACAGAATTTATATGTCCGTTTTCTTGTATTTATGATTCCCTGCAAATGTTAAATTGTTTCTTTGCCTAATCATTGATTAAACCATGCTAAGATTATATTCAAGGCATGGGAGACTTAATCATCAAACTGTAATAGTTTTAGGTCGTCTTTACAGTCTCATCTTTTGTGGGTAACTCTGTATTTATGATTTTTTGTTCTTAGTTTCCAAACAAGAAGCAGACTTAGCGACCAATGAAAGACTATCGATGTGTTTAGCCAGCCTTGTCATTGATAAATGTATTATACAGGGATACCAAATAAAGATGCGACTAATATGGTGACCGAAAGCTATTTAAGATATAACTAAATTTAAATTTGGATTTCTGCCTAAAATATAAACTTCAAAAGGCATTTTTAATGAACGGGCAAAGAGAACCAAGTTTGAATAAATTTGTTCAAGTCGTCTCTGAAGTCTCATTCTTTCTGGAGTAACCATGTAGCATAAGCACCTCAACTGGTTTAGTCTCAGGGTTATTTTGACCTAAGTTTTTAGATAATGATATTTCAGGAGAACTGCGGGAAATGTTTCTGTTGTCTGGACATGATAAAGTTCGGCGGACCAAACCGTTTACGGAAAGCCTGTAATATGAGAACATGTCTGAGGATGACGAACAAGACGAAGACGAAGAAGGTGAAGGAGAAGTGGAACACGGAGGAGTCAAGAAGGAGAGGATCCAGGGATCATAGTAGTGAGAGTAGCACTGGGTTCAGTGAGACTAGTGAGATGGATAACATGGAGGAATCTGAACCTGAAATTAAGAACTCAAACTCTGTGAGTAGTAGAGTAGAGAACCCGGCCTCTAATATTCTCTCCTCAACCTCGTCCTCGTCTGAGGTTGAGGTCACAGAGGACGTTAAACCTTGTACAGTTCTTCCTGTCCAACCTCAACACAGCAATATTCATCCTAAACCCCAGTCATTAACCAGGTATAATCTAGTTCTGATTACTTCTCCTTTTTTCATTAAAATCAAGAAATACGCAAGTCATTTTTGCAGAGAAACCACAGAATAAACAGTTTAAACATAACAAAAACATTGATACCTTTTTGTCTCCAATTCATACTTGAACAAACAAAGCTTTTAAGGGTTAAGTTTTGATTGAATCTGGCATTGCCATCTTTGCATTTAGGGTCACTTTAAATTACGCTTACATTCCCTTAAAAAAATTAATGAACGTAACTCCATTTTTGTTTACAACTGGTTTTTTTAAGATCTCCAAAGACGTTTGAAAGTGCGTTTCTTAAGTTCTGCAGTGGAACAGCTGCAGAGAAAGTTTTAGGTCCAATGGGACTAACCGTTCCCCATCAAACATCTCTAGTAGTAAATCCAAACCTGAGCAACACAATTCATCCCATAATTCCATTGGTTAAACCTGGACACCCAGAGCAGAACTGTTTGACTTCTAAGCCTTGCGGAGATCAGAGTCCATCTAAACCTGGTATGGTTAGGATAGATTATGCTAAACTCCAGCCTGAAATACAAGGAGAGAAATCTCCAGAATCTGTTACCAAACCTAGTCTCAACTCTACCATAGAGAGGTTGAAGGGAAAGCTAGGGCAAGGAGAAAATGAGGTGGGCCGGAAGGACGAGTATCTGAAAACTACGTCTTCTATGTTTGGTTTGGTGGAACCGAAGGTTGAAGGAGAAGTGTCGGCCGAGGAGGTTTTCAACCTTCTCCTAGGGGTCGGGATTACTCCCCTTCAACCTATATCTATTTTAGACAGGTATTAGATAAAGAAAACTTTGCAACAAATAATGTAACAGCTGGGCGCGGCCATTCAATTCTCGGAGTTTTGTTCAACTTGCTTCTATTTAACGTACAATCCCTATTTTTGTTTAAATGATTTTCATTTAATTTTGGGATTTGTTGAACAGAAATAAAATTCAATAATTGTCGATAATATCAAAAAAGTGCTTTTTAGTTGGACTTGAGAAGAGATATCTTATTTTTCACTGGGTTTAATAAGAGATATTGCAGTGTTTTTTTAGTTCTTATATTATCAAGGATGACATGTTTAAATGTTTATTTTTATTTTTTGTGTTCCTCAAATTTTGATTAAACTGAAACAGCAATCTTATTTCATCCATTTATTTTTTTTCTAGAGTTTCTAACGGAAGAAAGACGGAGAACTCCGAGACTGATTCAGACAATTTTGTTCAAATTCTCCTTGAACAGATTCAACAGTTTAAACAGCTCAAATCTCAGATCTCAGCAGAGCACCAGCAAATCCTTAAGCTTGCAGCTTTACCAAAACTAGCAGGTTAGCTTTAATCGAACAAAGCCCCCCCCCCTTCCCTCCCCGGGGGGGGGGGGGGTAATGGAGTGGAAATGATTAAAATGATTTGAGAAGAAAATTAAAATTGGACATTAACTTTAAAGACACCCCGCCCTCTGATACTTCTAAAAATATATTTTCTCCCACCCAGCGATACGATATTCTTTCTTACGGTCAGAAAAATCGTTGTTGGAGGGTAGTAGGAGGGGGGGTGGGGTGATTTTTTAACAAAATAATACATATTACTTCAAGAGTTGCTTTTAAAGAAAAAATATATTTTTTGTTATTTTTCAGTGGAAGGACCAAGTGCTCTGAGAAGACTTTTGGCGCATCTTCAGCAGCTTTCTCCAAACCAACTCAGTATAATTAAAGTTGAACTGAAGAGCAGCAGTAAACCCACAAACATTACCCAGCTAACTAGCACTAGTAGTAGTAGTAGTGGTGGTGGCAGCAATAGAGTCAACAATACAAATAACAGTGACATTAGGAGCAGTAATATCTCCAGCAGTAGCAGTAATATCTCCAGCAGTAGCAGTAATATCCCCAGCAGTAGCAGTAATATCTCAAGCAGTAGCAGTAATATCTCCTGTATTAGAAGAAGAAGTAGGGAACAGACGCTGCCTGAAATTAAATGCATTCAGGTATTTTTACTTTATTCAAAAGGTTTTCTACTTAATTTTTGTTTTTCGTTTTAAATATCGCATAACTCAGAATAATGAAAGTTCTCGGCACAAAGAAAGTTTTTAATTTATTATGATATTGTAGAGATCACAAACTAAGAATCCGTAAGAGATGGAAGGATAAAATCCGGGAAGGATGAAAAGAGAATCCAGGAGCCAGTCTGATCAGAACCAGGAACAAGAGAAGATCTTCAAGCTTAATTCTCAACATATTTATATAATCTGTAATATATTTATGTTGAGAATTAAGCTTGAAGATCTTCTCTTGTTCCTGGTTCTGATCAGACTGGCTCCTGGATTCTCTTTCCATCCTTCCCGGATTTTATTAAACAAGGCAGTTGAAATGAAATAAAATAAATATGTGAATTTATTCATAAAAATTAGTTAAGACCAAGGAGTATCGAATAAAAGGGAGATGGAAACGACGCGGACCGCCCTACCATATGATTATACAATATACATGCATTACAGGTGGTACTCTATTTGAATAAGAAATATTTGTCTGATGTACAAATACCGCCTGCATGTATTCAGATTAGGTTAGTGTAAACATCGAACTGTGAAAAAAGTAGGCTGAATAACGCCAAACACCAACACATTTTTTGGGATTCAAAAATATTGGCAGTACAAACGTATTTTTATAATATAAAATATCGGTTTTATTAAATATGGTACAATAAAAAGACGTTTAAAAAATTAGAAGACGACCTTTAAAAACTCTTCCTCAGATAGAGTACCGTCTGTAAAGCATGTATAATGATAAGGTAGGGCGGTCCGCGTCGTTTTCATCTCACTTATAATCGATACTTATTGGTTAGAACCCAGGGGTGTATTTTCATGCTCCTAGAAGTAATTTAACCCCGATCCCATTTGGGATCAGAAATGGAATTATTCGGAGCACTGCCCCCACCCCAGTATAGGACAAACTAAAGAGGTTTTATACACATGTTTTTCCCTAAAACATTTCCATCAAGTGAATTATAAATTGTTCTGATTTGATTTGATTGAAACTAGGTACTAGATTGAGCGGTCTGTTGATTGGTGTGAGAATGATTGATTGATTGATTGACAAGCTGAAGATCCGAGTCTAAGTCTATATTCATATATATAAGGTTGGTGTATGGAGAGGAGAGATCTATCTGGATCAGGTTCCTGGTTTACTCAGGGTTTATCCTCCTCGCGGAACTGGATTCTCACAGAAGGATTTCTCCCTGGACCGAAAACAGATCATAGAACTAGGAATTCCAAACCTAGGTTCTCAAACTCGTCATAAATCTTCCAGGTATGGTTAGATTTTACTCTTGGAGCAAGATTCCTCCAGGTATAGATTATTTTTACTCCCGGGGGTAGATTTCTTCCAGGTATATGGTTGGTTTTTACTCGCGAAGATAGATTTTTTGCAGGTTTTGGTGGTTTTTACTCCTGGAGAAAGATTCTTCCAGGTATAGGTGGTTTTTACTCATGGAGAAAAGATTTCTTCCAGGTTGAATAGTCGAGAGTCCAGAGTGTTGACCATTACTTCATTTTTTTATTTTTTAAATGACCCTCTAACCTTTTTGTTATTATTTACCACCTTTTTTCATCTTTTCTAGAATACTGCGGTATAAAAGAAACGGTATAATCCGACCAAAAATTCCTGAAATAATGGAGTAATCGTTTTTAGAAATTTTAAATTATTCCATTTGTGTACTACAGTTTACTTATATGGAAGTACAAAACCCTATTATTCTGTAGAATTTCTAAGTATTTGAATTTTGAAATATTTTTCTAAGGAAAGCATATTTTCTATTTCAATGGATTTTTTGTTTTCTCAGTTCTTGTTAGAATAAATTGACCCTAAGATAAGAAAATTAAACATTTTCACAATTTTATTTTACAGTATTTTTCCTATATTTATATAAAAAATTATTTAATATATCTTCGTTTTCTATCTGTTAATTGATAGTTTAATATATAGCTATCTTCATGTGAAATTCACAAAAATTGCTAGATAGTTTAAAGAGTACTGTTGTGAATTGGACTAGAGGTCGTCAGAGCCCGCGATTTAAAAAATTCGGGGAAATACGGCTCTGGTCTAAGCTGTCGTTGGACCTTATTTACGACTTGAGCTTTCGGATTAAAGCTGCATCTTATTTTCCACAGAGTTGAATTAAAAAAACCGGTTTAATATTCTATTTGGCGGATTTTCATGGTAGGAATTGGCGCATTCCCAGTTTTTTTGAGAACAAGACGCAACATTGAGCCTTATTCTCCACTAAAACTAATCAAGGTCGGTTTTATTTTCATTGGGCCTAACTCCTTAAGTCGACCTGAAGATCTTGCAGCTGTCAATCACGTGACACAAGCTGTCGTTAAAGTTGGGTCGAAGATTGGGTCTTAAAGCTTGGTTTAAGGAATTACGACTCGAGCCGAAGTTTTTAAATCACGGGCTCAGGAGTTAAGGTTTCAATCACTAAAAGTTAATTTTTATTTCAGGAGTGAGTTGGTTGAAGTTGACGGAGAGAATCTTGTCAAAATATTTTTTGTCGACAAATTTCTGACGATCAGTGTTGAAGTGTTTAAACCAGATCTTATAGATATTGATTAAATTCATTTTAGATCACAAATTTATTTTTGCTTCAATTCAAACTAAATTTGATTTATTGATTGTAAGTAAATACAAGAAAATCTACTTTCTAGATACAGTGAGAGTTATGAAATTGTAGAATAGAAATAGAATTTAAGACTTATTAGTCTAATGAATATTTAAAATATTAATTGTGCAGTTTACACCAACCTATTTCACTTAAGTTGAATTTTCAGCTACTATTCCACAGTTTTATGTTTCCCACTGTTCACATAGTGTACACTGTATATATCATGTTCTTTTAACTCTTAACAACATCACACGCATCATTCATATATCGACATTTTTGAAAAAAAAATTTAGAAAATCTTCATAATATTGAAATATTATATATGAATTAAAATGATGACCTTGGTCAACTTGATCTTCTAGATGTCCTTAACTATTTAATGAAGGAACAACTATTGTTCATTGAGTTCCTTCTAGTTAATAATATGTATTCATCTGTTGTTAAATGTACACTGTAGTTTTCAAGGATATTATCAAGTGAGCTATGTTTTTTCCCCATGTCAAGCATTTCAATTATTTGATTAAATTAATATTTAAAAATATTATATAATGAGTTGTACAATTTAGAATACTATTAAATGTATGAGAATTGTTTATAATATAATCAAAATTTTCCTTGTATTGGCCAGGGTCCAGCCATCTTATAGAATTCAACTAATATGTTCAGATGTTATGTTAGTAAATCTTTTGGTAAGATTGCAGCCAGTAACATATTTTTATTTAAAATTAGAAATATCTTATGTATTTGTTATTCCAAAAGCTAGATATTTTCTTCATTTTCAACGGTTATAGCTTATAACTGTGTTCAGAATACAAAATTTTTCTTAACGATTAAAAAATTATAATGAAAATATTATGATTATATACCAGAATTTAGAAGATATGGGCTGGCGACTATGTTCATGGATTGTTCAACGATGAAGCTAACATGGATCGGATCAATTGGCTATTAAGTTGACATTGATCGAATCAGATCAATTGGCTATTAAATTGATATTGATCGGATCGGATCAATTGGCTATTAAATTGACATTGATCGGATCGGATCAATTGGCTATTAAATTGACATTGATCGGATCAGATCAATTGGCGATTAAGTTGACATTGATCGGATCGGATCAATTGGCGATTAAGTTGACATAGATCGGGACTGCGCTTTTGTTGGCGTAGATGGTCTTGATATTTGATATTATTTCTCTTCAGCAATCTTGACTATATCGGAGTGTTCAAGTACACTAATCCCGTCAGGGCAGTTTTCACTAGATAGCAGCATAGCTCTGAAGAAAAAAAAAAGAAAAAACTAGGCTTACTTTCTAATTTCAGTTTCCTTTTTTGAATCAATTTATGACGTATGAAAAAGATTGATCATGATGATGATAAACATCAGATATAGATTATTTAAATTTTCGGTTAAGTGAGTGAAAACGGGAAGAAAAACCCGACTAAAAATTGTGCGATGGAAATTTAACAAACCATTTCTTTTTAACAACAACATTTTTTTATTTCTTTATTTAGACATTTCAGTTTTGTTCTCTCAGAAATGGCGAAAATAAATGTTGTTTTGCGTGATAAGTGATGGGGGGGGGGGGGGTTTAAACGGGACATTATAAAGTAAGATTTTCAATTCTTTTTTTTCATACTTTTCAACCTAATAATCGAATATTTTCCCTGAAAATTATTTATTTTCCCCAACTCAACGAAAAATAACCATAAAGAGCAAACGTAAATAACATCTGGGGGAAAAAACGAATTTCTGTAAGGGGTGGAAATGATTTTTTGAAAATATACACCCCTGTGAACCCTACCTGGCTAGTAAGGATGTAGGTATCGACCATGAGTAGGATTTATCGGTGAACCCTGCAATCCATCTAAGCCAACCTTCTCCAGCTCTAAATATCAATCAAGAATTTTATTTTTAAAACAATCGAAAACAAAAACTAAACTAAACAATACATTTCTATTTAAAAAAAAACATTTTATAGACTTCGTTTATAAAAAAAAAAACAGTACGGAACCCCGAAACTATAACATTGTGCTAACCAAATTCTCTGTCCCCATACATAATTTCGGCTTTCTTTGCCCCATCTATGAGAAACTTGGTCGGCTTTCTATGCCCTAACCATGAGAAACTTGGTCGGCTTTCTTTGCCCTAACCATGAGAAACTTGGTCGGCTTTCTATGCCCTTACCATGAGAAACTTGGTCGGCTTTCTTTGTCCAAACTATGAGAAACTTGGTCGGCTTTCTTTGCCCTAACCATGAGAAACTTGGTCGGCTTTCTTTGCACTAACTATGAGAAACTTGGTCGGCTTGCTTTGCCCTAACCATGAGAAACTTGGTCGGCTTTCTATGCCCTAACCATGAGAAACTTGGTCGGCTTTCTTTGTCCCAACTATGAGAAACTTGGTCGGCTTTCTTTGCCCTAACCATGAGAAACTTGGTCGGCTTTCTTTGCGCTAACTATGAGAAACTTGGTCGGCTTTCTATGTCCTAACTATGAGAAACTTGGTCAGCTTTCTATGCCCTAACCATGAGTAATTTTGTCGGCTTTCTTAGTCCTAACTATGAGAAACTTGGTCGGCTTTCTTTGTCCTAAATATAAGAAACTTGGTCGGCTTTCTATACCCTATTTATGAGAAACTTGGTCGGCTTTCTTTGTCCCAACTATGAGAAACTTGGTCGGCTTTCTTTGTCCTAACTATAAGAAACTTGGTCGGCTTTCTATACCCTATTTATGAGAAACTTGGTCGACTTTCTTTGTCCCAACTATGAGAAACTTGGTCGGCTTTCTATGCCCTAACTATGAGAAACTTGGTCGGCTTTCTTTGTCCTAACTATGAGAAACTTGGTCGGCTTTCTATCCCCTATTTATGAGAAACTTGGTCGGCTTTCTTTGTCCCAACTATGAGAAACATGGTCGGCTTTCTTTGCCCTAACCATGAGAAACTTGGTCGGCTTTCTTTGTCCTAACTATGAGAAACTTGGTCGGCTTTCTATGTCCTAACCATGAGAAACTTGGTCGGCTTTCTTTGTCCTAACTATGAGAAACTTGGTCGGCTTTCTTTGTCCCAACTCATGAGAAACTTGGTCGGCTTTCTTTGTCCTAACTATGAGAAACTTGGTCGGCTTTCTATGTCCTAACCATGAGAAACTTGGTCGGCTTTCTTTGTCCTAACTATGAGAAACTTGGTCGGCTTTCTTTGTCCCAACTATGAGAAACTTGGTCGGCTTTCTATGCCCTAACTATGAGAAACTTGGTCGGCTTTCTTTGTCCCAACTATAAGAAACATGGTTGGCTTTCTTTGTCCTAACTATGAGAAACTTGGACTGCTTTCTTTGTCCTAACTGTGAGAAACTTGGTCGGCTTTCTTTGTCCTAACTGTGAGAAACTATTATATTTTGTCTTTTATCGCTTAAAAAAATCAATCAATAGTATTAGTATTTAAGAATTTTTATTTTAGGCTTATTAGGACTTACAGTAGATTTTTTATAAAAGATCATTTAATTTCAGAAGCCGATAGTTAATGAAATGTTGTGATAAACCTGTTCTCCGTCCTGTCGCAGAGTAGTAGACCAGGCCTGTATATTCTAATCTTGTTAAACCCTAATCCTTTCACTGCTTCTTCTATCTTACCCTGTATACAATATCATCAGTAGTGCATGTCATAAGTCACATAAGTTCCGTATTCCTGATCCGTTCTGATGTGATCAGAAATATTCAGTGCTTTTAGGGCGCTTCGTTTCATCTTCTATTTCCATTGTGAAAAACAAAAGCAAAAAAGTTCACGGATTATATAAAGATAATTTCATGGATTTTCAAAATAAAATAAAAATCGAATTTTGTTAAAGCAAATTTTCGTAAATTCGATCATCCATAAACCTTCCATGGGATCACACGAGGTCCCACAAAAAATTTGGGCCCTATCGGTTTAGTCATTTTGACCTTTATTGGATACAAACAAACTAACAGACAGACAAGCAAAGTATATATATACTAGGCTTTTAGGGCGCGAAGCGCCCATCTTATATTTAAATTGTGAACATGTTCTTTTTGTTTACATTTTAAAACACAGAAGAAAAAAATTTTGCGGATTTAAAAAAAAAAATCGCGGATTTTCAAGAATTTAATTTTTTTTTAAAAATTAAAAACCTTTAAAACACATTTTTATTTTATTTTTATCATTCATAAACCTTCCCTGTGGTCACGTGATGTCCCACAAAAAATTTGGGCCCGATCGGTTCAGTCGTTTTGACGTTTATTGGATACAAACAAACAGACAGACAAGCCAAATTTATATTTGGATAGATTCTCAAAACTTTCTGCCTATTTTTATAAAGAAACAATAATAGTCAAGTTCTAAGCGATGTGATCAAATATTTAATGTCTTTTTTTCACTTCTTCAGATAATGTTAAAACTTAAACTTGGAACCTGATAATGTATCACTATACAATACCTTGGTAGATGGATAGAGGAACCATGAGCTAGGATTGGAACCTGATAATGTATCATTATACAATACCTTGGTAGATGGATAGAGGAACCATGAGCTAGGATTGGAACCTTTACTGGTCAGAAGATGGAACTCGGTACATTCGCCGGATTTCAGCATCTCCGCAGACTTCAAATAGTTCGAGTTTTTTTTCACAAATTCTAATTTCAAGTCGTAAATTGATTATATATATTGATGCAGACTTTATTTAACGGCAAAATAAAACACAAAATAATGAAGAGAACATTTTTTAACACCTTTTCGACCTTTTCTATAGAAATGCATATTTCAAACGAAACATTTTGTTCAATCCTTTAGGGAAATTGATCGGCATTCCGTGTTTTGACAACAAAACTTTACATTCCTTCCATTCGGTGAAATAAAAAGAATATTTAGATAATAATAAATAATATATAGATAAGGATAAAAGTGTTACCTTTAGTACATAATCATAATCAACTTTGATAAAACCTTCCTTCCCCGCCTTTCCACGTGTTGTTCCCAGGCAACAAAAAGCCTAAAAAATTTTAATAGGGTAACCATTTTATTGGTTGTATATATGCATATTGGCTACCTTGTTTTTTCTAAGTTTCGATGATGTTTATATGATTATTTTGGTAATAAGAAAATAGTTTTTAATTTCCCGTATAAGATATCTAATCAAAGAGGTCTTGGGTATAGGTCTTTTGGGCACTGTTGTGAGTTGTTAATATTCTTTTTTAATTTTATTATTTTTTAATTAATCATGCAAATTAAAAATTTAAGCTTACCTTGTCGATATTCTTGAAATCTATTTCATGTTTGTCCAAGTTGTCGAAGTCGACAATTCTCTGCTCGATTTTGTCGAACCCCTCCCCTGGTAGATCGACTAGTCTCCGTCCGACAGATATTACCTAGAAAATTCAACTTGAATTGCAATTTTTTATTAGACAACAAATTGCATGGAAAAAGGGAGATCAGTGAAGAGCGGGGGGGGGGGGAGCTACGGTTGTTTTGGGAAAGTTAAGAATTTTTTACACTAGTTTTCAAAACGTAAAATAGCATTACAGGAATTTCAATGGCTTCTACCTTAGTAGTAGTTTGTGATGCTGCTAACTGCTTCAGTAGCTCCTACCTTAGTAGTAGTTTGTAATGCTGCAAACTACTTCAGTAGATCCTACCTTAGTAGTAGTTTGTGATGCTGTTAACTGCTTCAGTAGCTCCTACCTTAGTAGTAGTTTGTAATGCTGCAAACTACTTCAGTAGATCCTACCTTAGTAGTAGTTTGTAATGCTGCTAACTGCTTCAGTAGCTTCTATCTTAGTAGTAGTTTGTGATGCTGTTAACTGCTTCAGTAGATCCTACCTTAGTAGTAGTTTGTGATGCTGTTAACTGCTTCAGTAGCTCCTACCTTAGTAGTAGTTTGTAATGCTGCAAACTGCTTCAGTAGATCCTACCTTAGTAGTAGTTTGTAATGCTGCTAACTGCTTCAGTAGCTTCTATCTTAGTAGTGTTTGTGATGCTGCTAACTGCTTGAGCAGATCCTACCTTAGTAGTAGTTTGTAATGCTACTAACTGCTTCAGTTTAGTTCCTACCTTTATAGTAGTTTGTGATGCTGCTAACTGTTTCAGTAGCTTCTACCTTAGTAGTAGTTTGTGATCTTGCTAACTGCTTCAGTTTAGTTCCTACCTTAATAGTAGTTTGTGATGCTGCTAACTGTTTTAGTAGCTTCTACCTTAGTAGTAGTTTGTGATGCTACTAACTGCTTCAGTTTAGTTCCTACCTTTATAGTAGTTTGTGATGCTGCTAACTGTTTCAGTAGCGTCTACCTTAGTAGTAGTTTGTGATGCTGCTAACTGCTTTAGAAGCTTCTACCTTTGAAATAATTTGTGATACTGCTAATTGTTTCAGTAGCTTCTACCTTAGTAGTAGTTTGTGAAGCTGCTAACTGATTCAGTAGCTTCTACCTTAGTTGTGTTTGTGATGCTGCTAACTGCTTCAGTAGCTTCTATCTTAGTAGTAGTTTGAAATGCTGCTGACTGCTTTAGCAGATCCTACCTTAGTAATAGTTTGTGATGCTGCTAACTGATTCGGTAGCTTCTATCTTAGTAGTAGTTTGTAATGCTGCTAACTGCTTTAGCAGATCCTACCTTAGTTATTGTTTGTAATGCTGCTAACTGCTTTAGCAGATCCTACCTTAGTTATAGTTTGTAATGCTGCTAACTGCTTCAGCAGATCCTACCTTAGTAATAGTTTGTGATGCTGCTAACTGCTTCAGTAGCTCCTTCCCAGTTTCTCCAGTAGCCCCGAGGAGTAAAGTGGTATTCGTCATTTCTTAATAATCATTTATTTAAAGAATTATCACTATTTTTATGTGTTTACTTAAATATATTAAGACTGCTTTAAGTTACACATGGCATTTAGGCAATAGAAGGCAATTTTAATTTATTATAGTATTCGTCTAGAATAGGTTTGTTAACCAATTAATTTGACTGAATTGTATTTTCTTGTTAATATATTGTTAAATGTAAAACCTGATATCACGAATCACAATATTTGTTTATATTTTTAGTCTATATATACTAAATGTCCTTTCCAGCCAATTTCACCTTTTCTATGTGGATTATTGTCTATGAAGACCTATTTAGTCTGCTTGTTGGAGCAGGTAGAAACTAAACTTCTAAAGGTTCAATGCGTACATTCTCGTATCTTCTCCTATAGTATGATCGAGTATAGTAGAGAGTATTCGTACACTTTAACCCCTACTAGTACTTCCAAGCTGTGTACTCTCCTTTAATGGGAAATAATGTTAAGAATTATGTATACAAATGCACATTGCCGCATAATGATGGGTTGGCTTAATTGAATTAATAACCGACGCCGATTTTGAGATAGATAAAAAAGCTTAAAGGTATTCAAGTAATTTTTTCCGGGGGTGGGACGTTTTTTTTCTAACAAAAAATCACGAACAATTTTCTTATAAGCGGCCAAATTGATTTTTTTCGGTGTTTGAGACATTTAAATCCAGGGATTTTACAGTTACAAAACCAAATTACAACTTAATTACTATTTACTACTCAGCCTTATGTTCAGATAAAATCAGGCCCATAGCCAAAGGTAAGGGGGGACCGGCAGGGGCGGACATAAGGATTCTGTAGGGGGCTAGGGGGCCGGGCCGAGCGCCGCGGCTAGGAAAGGCTAGGGGGCCGGGTGGGGGGGGTAAATAACCCCAATAACCCCCCTTATGGCCGCCACTGGGGACCGGGTACATTATCTGAGATATAAAAGATTAAAAGGAAGAATGAAAGAAAGAAGGAAAAAAGGGAAGAAAAATCTTATTTTATGTCATATTATTATGTGTTGAGGATAATTTTTTCTTCAAATTAAAGAAAAGTTGAATCCTTTCTGAGATAATTAATTGGGAATTTTGATGAATTGACAGGGTTTAAAAATAATTTTGTGTATGAGAAACTTATCCCTTTACCTTCTTTTATTAGATTAATGTTATGAACTATATATCTTATTGCAAAAAGTAACATTATGGCCGGAGACAAATTGAAATAATGTATAAAATATGGCCAGGTTTTGGAGAAACTGTTTATACTCATTCTCAAGTTCGTAGGGGAGTTTTTCTCAAATCCAAAGTTTAGTTTTGGGAATACTGAAAATTCCATTAAATTGAAGTTTTCAGGTCAAAAAAATTTTACCTCTATCTTTACTTTCTTACATTTGTGCCCCCTAGGAGAAATTCCTAGCTACGGACCTGGATAAACTTTAATGATTCATCTCTTTATTTGATGATCATGCAGGAGTCAAGACATCTGAATCTTGGATTTTAATTAATTAACTGCTCATTCTGATCAATTTTGTTTAAATTGTTCTTTAAATCTAAAATCGATTTATCCTTCGTATTTTTTTAGACAACAGAAAAATAATTTGGCAGATTTTCCTGTTTCTCGAATTGCAATTACAAAAATCTATTTTTTTTGATGCATCATCTTCAAAATGTTATTTGATTTCCCACAAAAAGTTTGGGCCCTATCAATTTTTGAAAATTTGTCCAATATGTCTGATTTATAGTTTAATACTTAAAAGTTTCTGTGTAAATTACAGGTGTGCCGACTGCCAAGTTTTACAAATCATTGAATTTTATGATTTTAAAAAAAATTTATATTTTTGTTGGATTTCATAGTGCGCATTTATTTGAAAATTCCCTTTATTTGAAGTTAAAAGACTAACTTTAAAACATCAGTTTCAGTAAACAAATTTATACCGGATGCCAGGGGCGGTTACAGGATTTAAGTGAGGGGAGTGCTAGAATTATTTCGGAATAAAAAAATCCTAATTTCAGATTTAGGAACCAAAATATGCCTCGCAGGCGAAATTTTTTTTAAAGATAGATATTTTTTCTGTTTTGCACTAGGTTTTGTTTCCCTTAAGTGCTATTGAGAAGCAATTCTGAAAGCCGTCAGGGGAGTGCAAAGGTCCTGCCGCCCCCCCCCCTGTATCCGCCTCTGCCGGATGTTAGGTTTAATAAAAATCAGAAATCTGGGCTACGGAGTTTATCATAATCAAAAACTGGGCTACCAAAATAGTTTAAGATAATTTTAAACCGGGATACGGGATTTATAAAAGTTATAAATCTGGGCTACAGGGTTTATAAAAATTATAAAACTGTACTACAGGGTTAAAAATCAGAAAATTGGGCTACGGATTTTATGAAAATCAGAAAAATGGGCTACAGCCTACAGGGGTTTATAAATAATAGAAAACTAGACTATTGAGTTAATCAAACCCGTTAAACTGGGCTACAGGATCAATTAAAATCATAAAACTGGGCTTCAGGGCCTTTAAAAGTCAGAAAACTGGGCTACAGGATCAATAAAAATCAGAAAACTGGGCTACAGGGCCTTCAAAAGTCAGAAAACTGGGCTACAGGATCAATAAAAATTAGAAAACTGGGCTTCAGGGCCTTTAAAAGTCAGAAAACTGGGCTACAGGATCAATAAAAATTAGAAAACTGGGCTACAGGGCCTATTAAAATCATAAAAATGGGCTACAGGGTCAAAAAAAAATCATAAAACTGGACTACAGGGCCTATAAAAATTAGAAAACTGGGCTACAGGATCAATGAAAATCAGAAAACTGGGCTACAGGGCCTTTAAAAGTCAGAAAACTGGGCTACAGAATCAATAAAAATAAGAAAACTGGGCTACAGAGCCTATTAAAAATATAAACCTGGGCTACAGGGTCAAAAAATTTAGAAAACTGGACTACAGGGCCTATAAAAATCAGAAAACTGGGCTACAGGGTCTAAAAAAAAAAAAAAAAAAACCGGGCTACAGGGCCTATGAAAATCTTAAAAATGGGCTACAAGGTCTATAAAAATTTAAAAACCGGGCTACAGGGCCTATATAAATCTTTAAAATGGGCTACAGGGTCAATAAAAATCAGTAAATTGGGCTACAGGGCCAATAAAAATCAGAAAACTGGGCTATGGGGGTTTATGAAAATCCGAAAATTGGACCACAGGGTTTACAAATCAGAAAACTGACCTACGGGGTTTATGAAAATTTTAAAACTGGGTTACGAGGTTCATAAAAATCATAAAACTGGTCGTCTGGGTTTATACATATACAAGAAAACTGGTTTACGAGGTTTATGAAAATCAGAAAACTGGTCTACGAAATTCATGAAAAATAGAAAACTGGTCTACAAGGTTCATGAAAATCAGAAAACTGGTCTACAAGGTTCATAAAAGTCAGAAAACTGGTCTACAAGGTTCATGAAAATCAGAAAACTGGTCTACAAGGTTCGTGAAAATCAGAAAACTGGTCTACGAAATTCATGAAAAATAGAAAACTGGTCTACAAGGTTTATGAAAATCAGAAAAATGGTCTACAAGGTTCATAAAAATCAGAAAACTGGTCTACAAGGTTCATGAAAATCAGAAAACTGGTCTACAAGGTTCGTGAAAATCAGAAAAGTGGTCTACAAGGTTCATGAAAATCAGAAAACTGGTCTACAAGGTTCATGAAAATCAGAAAACTGGTCTACGATATTAACGTTTAGCTGGATGAATTGAAATGAAATCTGTCAGAACCAGAAGCATAAAACATTTGATGTAAGTTTTAACATTTTAAACATTCAAGTCCAGATTTTTTTTTAGTTAGAATTTCAATTTCCTTATTTCATATGCATTTCAAACGTACTTTTAAACTTAAAATTGTGAAAATCAAAAATAAAATTTAAAAAAAATAAAATGTATTTTCGTGCATTAAATATATATTTTTGGTAACAGAAATGCGAAAAATGAAAATGAAACTTTGATTTTAAGAGGAACAAGATGAAAAATACAACCACATGCCGATTATACATATTTTTATGATAAAACTGTAAGTTTTGATTTTAAAAGGAACAAGATGAAAAATATAACCACATGCCGATTTTACATTTTAGATAGAAGGCTTTCTATATTTTTAAGTTCAAAATCTTTTATATGGGAACCATGCTTTGCCTGGAATTCTAATCTTTCCCTTTAATAGTCGACAACCTCAACTAGTAATTTTTTAACCAAACAAAAATCATTCCCTACTTAACCAATAAAAATGTGTGGCAAATCGGTCAATTCAGCTTTGCCTTGAAACTAAATTTGAGTCTAACTGTTCAAGGGGTTGCTTAGTTTGATCGGAAATACAAACAAATAAACTACTTTTTAAAGATACCACCTCAACTTAGAATTTTTAAACACATTCCAGTGTTTCTACTGAGTTCCTTAATCAAAATTTAAGGAAAATCAGTCCAGGGATCATGAGTTATGATCGGGAATCCAAAGAGCGATTACTACTTTATATATATATATATATATATATATTACATTACTAGACCCGTCGTATATTCAACTTTTAATTGTGGCTTTATCTGTGAGCATCTTCTCTTGTACAGTATAAAAAAAGTTTGGGGATCTCATTATATTTTTTTGAGCATTTTCAAAATTTCACAAAAATAAAAAACTTTTAAGCACAAATTTTTTAAATTTTGATCATTCATAAATCTTCCCTATAAGGATCACGTGAGGTCCCATTCAAAATTTGGGCCCGATCGGCTCAGCCGTTTTGACGTTTGAATACAAACAGACAGACAGACATGCAAAGTATATAGATTATATATAGCTATAGATAAGAAGGAATAAACAGACAGAAATAAGCAACCAGTTCCTGCACAGAGTGACAGCTGAGATGTATGTAAACAATGCATTGTACTTTTTGGTTGAATTATGTTTTACAAAAAAGATGAACGTATGGTTTCATGCAGTATTTACATTAATTACACCACATGTGAATAAATTGTTTTATTGAAGGGTATACGGCACGAATTGTTACATTTTTCCGTTGTTTTACGATCCCGTCTATACGTCTATATTTCAATGTTAATATTTGAAAGTTTTCTTTGTGCTATGGTGTCTGTAAAGTTGAGTGACTGTTTGAGGCCTAGCTTAAATATTGTTTAAATCATGTCTGTCTAGCCAGTATGGGTTGTCTGTCTGTCAGGTTATGAGTGTGTGTGTGTGTGGTGGCCGGCTGAATAAAGGGAAAAGAAGTGAAAATGGGATCAGGAGTTATATCTCATCTTGATTTTATTCGGGTTTGGTGAGAGGGTGGGCTGGGTGAAGTGTGTTCACGAATTGGAAAGTAAGAACGTTTTGAGTGTAGGATGGCTCAT